TCTACGTCCCTGCCAAGAAAATTGACCCTTTAGATATGAGACTGAGAGAAATGAAAGCGAGGAGGTTGAACTACCTGGTGATTTCAGAAAACTTTTAGAATTTGTTGTCCTGCTGTCTTGCTGGCAGACCTGACAAAGCATGAATTTATATGTTTAACAAATCTGCATCGTGTTGTAGTTATTTTGGAATCAGTTTAATCGGTTTATTGCTATTTAAGATCGGTTGGTCTGAATGCGGAACAAGTCTTACCACCTCTTTTGGCTCTAGTAACCTATTTAAATGTGTTTCATCTCAGTGATAAATGAATCCCTTTTAATTCATTCATTGACTGGACTTTATTAGCTCATCTGTTAATAACTTATATCATAACTCAGTGTTTCCCACAGAATGACAGTGTAACTGTGGCACAGCTATAGGCCTATACAGCATGCTATCCTCGAAAACCCAGCTGTATTCTAACGTTAGCGGTCAGTGTTGTTGAACATATGGGAAACACTGTAACTTATCTGCTTATGTTCAAAACTTTCTGCAAAATTCAGAATCTCTCACACACAGGCCCTATCTGTGTTCTCTGACATGTAAAGAAAAAGTAGTAATATTAGGAGAATAACATCATTAGCCTATTTAAAGAGAATTCATAGTATTTTACTACATGCCCTGTACTGCATTGTTACTGATTTGCTGGAAGTATCCCCTCGACCGTTTGACAGACACAGAACTGGATGAGACGAGGAGGTGCCCATGCTGGGGGGAAATGAAACTAATCAGGCAGAAATTTCACCTGTTTACTTCAGCACCTCTAATAAAGTGCCACTTGCAGTCCCGAAGAGCAAGTCAGGGCTTCACTTTTTAACGTTTCAGTTTTATAGCCTACTGAAACTACTGTGGTCTATATGTCTGCTTTGGCACAAACTGTCTGCGACTCACACAGCAAGTAACGTTACATCAGCTGCAGCCCGCAGACCTGATGGAAGTTGACAGAAGGTGAACTTCCAAATATGGTTTGTCCCAGAAGACACCGCACACAAAACGTGATGACGTGTAAGGGTTAATCTCGGCTCACGTACAGCATAGATCCAAATGTTAACCGTTTTATTCTTTAGAGGCCAACAACAGAACCGGGGTTAGTTTAATATTCAACATTCGGCGGTTTTCGCCCCTGTTACCTTCTATACCTCCGTGTCAAAATCTCTATTTCTCCCAGTTTTGGGATATATTGGAGAGTTAATTCAGGCAGAAGTTTCACAGTTGTGATCACCTCAAAATCACTGAAGATAAAGTTGCAGTCCAGAGCGCAATGCACTGAATGTCTGTCAAATGCGCCTGTCGCTGTAGGGGGAGTTAGGGACCGTCTGCAAATTGCAATAAATCCATTTCAATCTTCAATAACGTTTTTTTTTCTACATAAAAATCTCAAACCACTGCTAATATAACTAGTGACCACCCTCAAACATTTCACACCTGTAAGTTTGTAAACAAACATGAAAATAAATAAATTAATTAACTTCTTAATTTTGCACATTACAAGTGAATAATTTCAATAGCTTGCTCATTTATGAATATATTGGCACCAAATCACCTCTTGGGTATCCTCTCACAACTTTCACACCTGTAAGTTTCTGAAAAAGGCCCTTAAAAATCCCTTAACACCACTATCAGGGACCCATTGCCTGAAATATATACTTGTTGACATTGTAATTTCAATAGCATGCTAATTTGTGTATATATTGCAATTAAATCACCTCTCATCTGTCCTGCACATCCTTTCACAACTTTCACACCTGTTAGTTTCTGCAAAAAGCCCTTTGGGAATCCCTTAACACCAATAGGTTTGAATTTAAAAAAGGATCAAATAAAACAATAGGGAAGATCATCCAATCCATTTGGGATTCCTTTCATCTGTCACAATACTAAATAATCTGAGTTTCATCAACAGAACAGATAGTAGTTGTTAAGTAGTTGGTTCAGTACTGAACTATTGTATGTGTTAGAGTCTTCATTAGTGCACACTGTACCTGGCTAGATCGACGTAATTCTCCATGCAGTATCTCTGAGCTTCAGTCCACTTCAAATATTTGTTGACTTTTACAAAGGATGATTTGCCATTTACTGAACCTGGAAATATATTGAGAGAATTTATTAACAATGTGCTATGCAGAAATTCAATTTAGCTTCTTGTTTATACTTACGCTATAAAAAACTCACCGTTGTAGCACACAGAGAAGTGGTAGTTGTTGCAATTAATGTCCATCCATGTTCCAAGGAAGTTATTGTAATTGTAATAGTAATAGTAATAGTAATTGTTTAGAAGCAGCACACAGTTCTGTTGACCATTTGGATTGATGGGACGTCCAGGAGCCCAGTTTCTAAACCCCGTGTCTGCTTCACCATAGAAGCTGCTGTTACTCAGGGACCATTTCCAGCTGTGATCATAGAGGCCTATCCAAGCTTTGCCTGTTCAAACAGATGTTCATTATATAACAGCTGGAATCAAAAAACCTGCGGAATTACCTAAAATGTAAAAAAATTAACATCCCTTGATTTATGTCTCCTCTATTTTTCATTGAGGGCCTTTCTTGTTCTTTCACATTCCATAATATCCATCCATCCATTGTCAACTGCTTATCCTGCATACAGGGTCGCGGGGGGGGCGCTGGAGCCAATCCCAGCTGACATTGGGCGCAAGGCGGGGTACACCCTGGACAGGTCGCCAGTCCATCACAGGGCCACACATAGACGAACAACCACTCACGCTCACACTCGCACGTAAGGACAATTTAGGGTCGCCAATTAACCTAGACTGCATGTCTTTGGACGGTGGGAGGAAGCGGGAGTACCCGGAGAGAACCCACGCAGACATGAGAACATGCAAACTCCACACAAAATGGCCAGGATAACCAGGGTTTGAACCCACGACCTTCTTGCTGTGAGGCAACAGTGCTAACCACCGTGCCGCCCTCCATAATATTGTGTTATATAATTTTATCTAATCATAGTAAGTTTATCAAAAACTTGGTTGTTGTCAGGCTGTTATGTTTGTATATGATTATACAGTATATATATATATTATGTTTATGTTCTATATATGTTTCCAATATTGAGAACTTGCCTCTGTAGCTCGGTGTGGTGCTGAGTATGGTACTGACGTCAGATATGGTTTCTACGGTGGCCAGGTCAGTGTAGACCTGTCTGCAGAAGCTCTGAGCTTCAGTCCAGTTCAGTGGTGTACTCTCAAAGTAGTACTGACGAGTTTGGGCAGAGGCAACATTGACCAGTGCTCCTAAAACAAAGAATATTCAGTTTTTTATTACTTATTTATGATAAAGCATGAAGACTCTTTTACAGTGAACATGAAGAGGCACTATGCATCAGATGGGTTCAGCTGTACTGTGAGGTTTTACAATACATTTTCCTCGTTGGTGAAATTTTTGTAGCATACACTGTAGCATGACTACAGAGCATGGAAAAAATGAGTGCTCTCTGAAACTGAACCAAACAGTCCTGCTAGATTTAATGTCTGGTGCCTTCGCACTTTGTCTATCAGCTTGAGTCAGAACAAGTTCCAGTCTGCCTCAGTGAATGTGTTCACTGTTTACCACTGACAATAAAATAGAACCAGTTCAACTACAAATATGTTTGTCATTTTAAACATTTTCTGTAATACACTGTAAACCCCAATAAGTTCATAGTACTCAAAACTTTTGTAGAAACTGATTACATAATAACTTTTGAGGTAAGTAACTTAAAATTTGTAAGTTAGATTTTTTTTAAAGTTACAATCTAATCAAACTTAAAAAAATTAAGTTACTTACCTTTAAATGTTTAAGTTTGATTAGATTGTAACTTTTAAAAAATCTAACTGAAAAATATTAAGTTACTTACCTTTAAATGTTTGAGTAAGATTTTTTTAAAAGTTACAATCTAATCAAACTTAAACATTTAAAGGTAAGTAACTTAATTTTTTTAAGTGCACTATGCTTAAAAATATTGTTTAACACTCGCACATTTTTTGTTTCTCCATACTTCATTATTTGATCCAATGGTACTAAAAAAATATGCTTGTGTATAACCCACAAGCTAATGAAATTTACAAGTTAAAACTACGAAAAAAAAAAATTACTTCAGCTGTACATTTTCTTTTTTCTTTTATTCAGTCTTAATTTTTATACAAACATGTCAGAACATCAACAGCAGTCAACAGTTAAAACTCTGTTCTAGCTCAGGTGTCTAACCATGTGACTCAAGTCACAGTTTCACCACCTACCCAAAAGCTGTAAGCCTGTTAAGCAGTGAAATTTCTTAAAATATTTAGTTACAAACCTACATGGACACAGCAAATATGTATGTTTTAGTGTCTCTATGTGTGTGTGTGTGTCTGTGTGTGTCTCTGTGTCTGTGTCTGTGTCTGTGTCTGTGTGTGTGTGTGTGTGTGTGTGTGTCTCTGTGTGTGTGTGTCTGTGTGTGTGTGTCTGTCTGTGTGTGTGTCTGTGTGTGTGTCTGTGTCTGTGTGTGTCTGTGTGTGTCTGTGTGTGTCTCTGTGTGTGTCTGTGTGTGTGTCTGTGTGTGTCTCTGTGTGTGTGTGTCTCTGTGTGTGTGTGTCTCTGTGTGTGTGTGTCTGTGTGTGTCTGTGTGTGTCTGTGTGTGTACATATGTATCTCTACATATTAAACAGGAACAAGATCATCAGGAACTAAGCAAAGTGCTTAATATAAAAAGTATGAAAATAAATGCTTATTAAAACAGCATTAGTAACAGCAATCAAAGTGAAAATGGAATAAAAAAATATACAAATAAAAGTAAATTAAAAGATTTGGTGGGCAAGACATAATCTGCCATATGTAAACAGTTTCAAATGCTTTGAGTAACATTGTGTTCAACAACATACTATAAAGTTACCATACTGGGAACCCCCAAAACACATCAACATGCAGACAAGAAAATACATGTGTAAACACTACTCTTAAGTTAGCCTACTCTTTCATTAACAGGTCATTTTTGAGACTCAGTAGGCAGGGTTTAAGTGGTTTACCATCATCAAGACCCATTAGGATTTTCTGGATGAATGTGAAAGTGTGAATGAGTTTGGGATAGTTCAAATGCAATGCATACATTAACCCAAACAACAATGCAAATGCATCAGCCAAGTTAGGGATATCACTCATCACAACATCGTCTTCCACAACAATAGAAATACTTGCAGGACTGAAATGAACTGGATCTGCAGTGTCCTCTGTGACTGTGACAAGAGCAACAGGAGTGTCGATGCATGGCTCATCTGACTCCTCCACCTGAAAGACACAGAGGATACAACTGTTAGGTTAACTTGAAGAAACACAACAACTGCATGTACACTCACTGGCCACTTCATCAGGTGCATGTGTGTAACCCAATGCAGTCCAATACAACAGCTCTCCTTTAAATTCTACGTTTATGAATTTTATACATTTTCAGTTTTTGTTGACATTGTCAGAAAGGTGATAATTCTACTTCATATTTATTACTGAGGTTGTAATACATGGTGGTGGCATAGTGGGGTGAATTATATCGAATGGTGTTCCTAATATTTTGCCCTTTCTTGTATGTTAAAGCAGTGGACAAAATATTAGGAAACCCATTCAATATAATGCCTTATATACATAATAATATAACACCCTAATACATAATTTTCACCCACTGTCTATTCTACAGCCCATCATAAAAGTGGTAAGTGTAGCAGCAGGTATTTTACATTTTAATATCATACAGGTTGTTATTTAATATGTAAGTGTACCCAGGTAGGTATTTTGCAGCTGAGCATTAAACAGGCTATTAATATGGAATTAGGTATTACATAGTAGCGGGTGCTGTATTGTGATATGTAATGTACAGCATCTCATAAAAGGTATTTTTAAGTAATTTTTACAGAGAGAGAGTGAGGGGGTGTGTTATTTCATGAGGTTAAGCCAAAAGGTCAATCAAATGATCAAATGATCTTCTCCAGGTCTGGGTAAAGTTAGGCCAGGGCTTTGTGAGAGATTAAGGTTTGGGATTACCTGAGGTTAGATCTTTTACATTTATTTGTATGCTTATATGCACATACTGTATATCCATGTACACACTAAGTACAGTCCATTTACCATTACAATGACACCTACACACAAGGTTTACTAAGGGGTAACAAGATATAGTTAAGTGGCTGCTAGAGATACTAATAGTTCTCTGAATAGAATACTTACATTACAAGTCTTGAAGAACTGTGGGTCCTCCTCACGCATGTATACCGGAGGGCACGAAGGGCTACAGTACGCTTCATATTGACATCCTGCACTTCCTGGAAGAACAAGCAAAAATGAAAAGTACAGATTTCATTCTTCTTTCAGTGTGGATGTTCTGACCAAATTTCATGGCATTTGGCAAAGTGTTGGACAGACAATGACACCCTGAGGCCCTGCTGTCCAGTGGGACCTGAAGCTCAAAGTTCATTAACTCACCTGGAGATCATAAATCTTAAAGATGTCACGCAGCGCCTCTGATATCTTTCCGGTTCGTGCCGCCTTCTGCCTATACAAGGCCATCAGTCCAGGTGTATGTTGGTCAAGCACAGCATAGAACTTGTTCCGTAGGTTGACATTTGTGATGCGTTGGAACTCAGCACAAAGCTACAAAAACAAAAATAATTAATACACTGTTGAGCAGCATGGTCACATGCAAAGTGATAGTTCTTACCCACAGAGAATAGTGGCATTTGCTGTTCCATTTGAATTGAGACATATTCAAAATTTGGCATTGAAATATGTGTGAATAGTGGCATAAAAGAGAAGTGAGTGTGTTTTACCTGTGATTCAATCCGAAGAGCCGGCCATTTCCCCAAGAAGTCCTTCACCTGTGGATTTTCCTGAATTATCTCCTGGCGACGAAGGGCAAAGGTCTTCTGCATTAGCATTTCTATCAAGCGTAGGTTTTGCTGACTCTTCTGAACTTCGTCCATAATCTGCAGTCTCATTTCTTCCAAACTGGCCTGACTTTCTCCCTTGGGAAAGTTTGGAAGGAAGTTAACTTCAGCTCGTCTGGCTCGTTTTATGTTGGAGTGTGGGTGATCTTTGTCAGGGTTATTTTTGCTCCTTTTACCTGCGTTGACAGACACCTCCAAACATCCAGATCTTGACAGCTTGCCACGATAATCCCCCATCTTAAATTTCAGGCTCATTTTCCATCCATACCATCCACTCACACTTCCAGGCTCTTTAAGACAAGGATGAGATGTAACAAGAGCTTCAGCTGCCATACCCACATCATTGTCACTTGGGTAAGGTTTGAAGTTGTACATCACTGCAGCCATGTTCTCCAAGATGTTGTGCTTTTGGGATCTGGTTAATTTCAGTGTCTTTCCAGAAGTTGCAAAGGCACTGTTTCCCTCTTCAAGTACATGCTCCACTTCATAAGAAAAATTTGGCACAGGGAAGATGTCAGGCCAGGACTTCTGACGCTGGCTTATAGGCACAAGAGGAAGGATGTCGGTATCAGAAGATGCAGATGAGCTGGTATCAGTTTCTGATCTGATAATTTTCAATGTCGCCTTCTGAGGTAACTCTTGAATATCAACTAGACAGCTGAGTTGTCCACCAAAGTCAGGATCCTCATAATGCAAGGTAAACTCAAAGTCCAGTCTTGGCTTGGCTTTTTCTCGCAGTATGTTGATTAGTTCTTTCACCGACTCTGGTTGCTCAATCAAAGTTACCTTTATAGCAACATCTGTGGTAACATAAACACGCAGCAGAAATTTTGGGGTTGCTGCCATCTTCTGAGGGACAAATCTATGTATAAAGATTGACATGGAAAAATAAGCTGATTTAGTAGTGCATAAAAAATGTAACAGCTAATTATCACCCTTTACATACTGGAAGTTTACCCTTGTGTTAAAATATGATTTAAGATCTACTAAGCTTTTTTCTTAAATCACAAGATGTAAATGTACTTTCAGTGCAACAGTATGAATCGTTTGAGCGTCAACAGCAATTTTCCTTCTACACTGTATGCAGAGAGGGGTGAGTTGTCATTGAGCTCTGATACACTGTGGACAGTTTCATTGCCTAGGAAAAGTTCATATGATCTCAGGTGTTCAATGTAGTGTGATTTGTGTCCTTGGCAAAGAAAAGTGACATCATTGTTAACAAGGAGGATCTGCTGAATTTTGCTAAACTGAGGCAGTCCCCCCTCCTGCCCTACAGATACAAACATCCCAACATCATAATCAGTACCATCAATAATGATTTTTGATGTGCTGTAAATCAGGTTGCTGTCTGTTTTTTCCTTAATGTGTTCTTTTGCAACCTCGGGAAGCTCTGAAACCAAGACAGAGGAGACATTTGATGTCTGCTGATGTGGTTTAAAGAATGATGGTGCACTGAGATAGTAGGCCATCATGTGCTGATGCCTAGTCGCTAGTGTTTTTAAAACATTCTTAAAGTTTAGTGTGTCCTGTACTACACGCTTAAAAAAGCGGTGTTTCCCCTCAAACCGCATAGTCCACAAATGGACAAGAGGCCCAAAACACTGTATGAGATCTGAGTAGTGTTCAACATAATGATGTTTAGGGAGCAGTGCGAACTCTGGGAAAACCTCCTGAAGCATGTGTCTGTGATCCTGTATCTTAGTCTGCAAATACTGGATAGATGCGTCATCAAATGTTGGGGACAGCACAAGCTCCACAACATCTTTCAAATCCATCAATGCAGTCCAAGCACCATCTCCCTCAGGGACTGTATTACCAATCATCAATGGGAGTAGTCTCAACAATGTGCTATTTTCGTGGCCATTGCCACCAATGGTCCTCTTTGCAGCAAAGTTCTTTGAAATAGGTCGTGGTTTATCAATCTTGTCTGTGTGTTGGTACGGGAATGACACAATTTTCCAGTTCAAATACTCAAGAGTAAAATATTTGAGCCGAATCATCTCCTTAATACATAGGGCCAACTCAACAGGTACAATACCCTCAAAAAGATCATGCAGGACATCAGGTGGGAAACCAGTGATGGTATGAAAATACTGCAATTTCTCTCTCAAGACACAGTCCCCCTTGACACCACACTGGCTTTCACCACCCTCTTGTGTAACATCCTGCACATCACAGTCATGACTGGCTTTAGTCCTTGGACTAAATTCACCATCTCTGACTTCGAGAGACAGAATTTGGTCTCGTTTAGCCTTGCAGAATCTACAAATATATCCTGCTCTAAAGGATTGCATAAAGCCTGCCAATGAGTGGGCTGCCAGATTATCAGACACAACACATAAAACAGTTCCACGGACTGACTGACCAAGGCACTCAATGAATACGCCATCTTCTTCAAGAATGCGAAGGTCTTGTAGCAAAGGACCAAGTACTTCTTGATAGCCACACCTCTTAAGATCAGTTACCTTGCATAGTGCTGCTAGCTGAATCACATGCAGTGCTGATCGGTATTTAACTGGCAAATCAGCAACCACCCAGTACACTGAACAGAGTTTATGGATTTTCCTTGAAGTGCCTAGTGGATTTGCAATTTCAAGGTCATCAATGTACAAAATCAGTGGCAGTGACAGCTCTGAAGACGACAAAAAAGTATTATCTTGGAAATATGAGCCATCTCGATGGCTCATGTAATAGCCTTTTTCTGAGCTCTTGGTTTCCTTGATTCTGTCAAGGATGTCAGTATGTTTGAACATTTTCTGGATCATCTGGAGTATAGGGACATAAACCACTGTGCATCCAGGCTCTAATACATACTGCACTGGCATTACCACAGGGTAGTTTTTCTCAATAAATGTTTTTCTTCGTTTAGTTGAGGACAAATCCTCACCTTTAGCTGTCGCACTGACAAAAATATTTGTGTCCATAACAGCATTCACCAAATCATTCATGATTGCTTCAGTAGGAGAGACATGATGTCTCTGTAGTATCTCTTGTATAGTATCTTTGACTAGAGGTTGAGACAGGGAAAATATCTGAGTCAGGTGATCAACTATTTCCTGAGATGCCATGTCAGAAACATGAAGAACAGTTTGCATCTTCAAGAACAAGGAGGACAAATTATGGTGTAACTGGGCCCTTAACTGGCTGGTGTCACACCAACTGTCAGACTCAGGAGAAGCAGATGTGCCTGCATGGTGATACTGAGCAGGATCCTCATCCTCAAGAACAGCAGTGTTTATGACTGGTGCACTATCATTCTCTGTTAATACAATGTCATCACAAAAGTTTAAACTGCCTTCATGTGTCCTACTTTTGTGTGCATTAAAAGATGAATAGACATTTGTGCGGTAGTTGCAGTCCTTAAATGGGCATGGTACATTCTCATGGTTTTTTAAATGTCCTCTTAAATGACTGAACAGTGTCACCTCTGAGAAAGGCTGTTTGAAGTCACACAATGGACACTTAAAAAGTGTATGTCTTACTTGTGCTGTTTCATCTGCACCAGTTCTGCATGTGTCTTTGTGGACACGTGATAAATGAATTTTCAATGCATTAAATGACGGAAATGTACAAATACAAGAGTTGTGGAGACATGGCAAAGGGCTAACTCTTGAATAATGACTATGCTGTAAACGGTAGTGCCTAAATAAGTGGGCCCGGGTGTCTGAGGTGACAGCACACAACTTGCACTTCCACTCCATTGAATCATTTGACAACTAAAATTCCTTATGCTTCAGACTCTCTTTATAAACTTAACATAGTTAATGTTCCTGCATGTGAAATGTGAGATTACCACAGAAAGGTCAGACTTGTTCAATATTTGGAGTAAGTTGGTCCTGTGGGCACAGATAAAACAATCAATATGAAACCAATCAAATTATGCAATCAACCTCTTTACAAATTAATGATACAAAATATGATACAAAATTTCAAGTGTTAATGTAACTTACCGATAAAGTTGAACTCTGGTGACAATGTAGGTCTGCACATGCACACAAAAACAGACAGCAAGATATTTAAGATATTTTTAAGAGACTTTTGATTGATTTATTCAAGAACAGAAAAAGCAAAAAATAATTGGCAAAGAGTGTGTTTTATATACTATTACAACTCACTTTGCAAAAAATCGATCAAAGTCTTCAGTGTCCATGAATTCACTGCTGACTGCATAAAATAACTGATCCAGACAAGGGATGACCCCCCAACCAGTGAAGCACTTTATGACCAAGAGTGAAATAATGTTATCAGATTTCAAAATACATGGGGTCTTATTTGCTATATGCTTTGATATTATGAAATCATACAGAGCATGTCAGCTTCCGCTCTTCCTACACTTTTAAATGAACACAAATAAAATAAATGGTGAAAAATAGGTTACATCCTAAATTAACATTTGAGTCACCTTGATTTTGGAGGATGCACTTTTCTGTAGTTCTTCCACTTCAACCTATAATGAAAAGACGTTTGTAAAGGTTTAATGAAAACTTGCAGAGATGATACGTTAACTATTAACCCATAACCTTAACGTTGAGTAAAAGTTACAGCTAACTTTAGCCACTAGCTCATTTGGGTGCATGTAGGTTAGCTAGAAATAACATCACATTCAACTTACCAAAGCAGGGCGCTTAACACAAACAGTAGCAACACACTCAAAAACGGAAGGACTATCGCTTACTGAAAAGAGTTATTGACTAACATTAACATAATTGTCTAGCCGCGACATTAACAGTACACATGATATTAACACTCACTAGCAGGCGGACTGACAGTAACGTAATGGCGCTGGCGCTTTCGGCGCATAAAAAACGTGCACGGCACCGTGAGGCTGCGCGCTAGCAACTTATAGGCTATATTAAAAATAGCATCGTCTAACAGTCAAATATCACGTGAAATATGATATTCCCAATGTTACAACAAGCAAAGTAGTTTCGAAGTGTTTTGGCTTACCTTAAAGTTTAATGCTTGATACCACGCATAGACACCACATTGCTCGAGAGGGTAGCCATCTTGGATAGATTTTTCAGGTAACGTCAGTTAGGATGGCACGTCATGACGTCATATCACGTGATCGACAGTACACTTAAAAATATTGAGTGAACCAGCGGTGTTCACTCAGAAATGCTGAGCCATGTAAATACAAAAATACATATTTGTTTATAGACATTAATAGTTTAAAGGTGGATTAACTCAGCAAGAGATTTTAACTGTAGCGACCTCAGTCTTTATAAGCTAGTAGTACTGTTCGGGCTTACAGTGTATAAGTTGTACCCTTTAACTCAGTTTGTCGCAGAAATACTTACTATATATGCAGTACTGAGTGAAGACTGCTTAATAATGTACAATATGTTGATTCTACAATAATAAAGACAACTGGCTCAGTCCCAGAAGAGAGGGGGCACTGATAAAAAATAATTCTTCCCTTGAAACTCTTTGGGCCTGACTTTGATTAGATTATGCTTCCTTCCTTTAGACTTGATCATCTGGGGCAGGACCATATGTTCCTATATTTAATTAAAATACCATTGTCTGTACTGACAAAGGGTACTTATCTGATCTATGTGTTCACTCTGGATTTTTTCTCTTAGTTCAATATGTGTAGGATGGAGGGAGATCTATTGGCTTGTCAGAAACTGGCTTGTCTGCTGTACACCTTGACCATGAGCCAGATATCATCAGTGCACGTGATCTTGCTCAAACAAACAGCAGAATAATCAAGAAAGAGGCACCAACCTGTGAGCACAAGGATGATCAGCCCATAATCCATGAGCCAGACCTTTGGGAAAAAACATTTGAAAACATATATGTTACTCTATTTCTACTAAAATGTGCAAACCAACTCCACTTACCTTTATATGAGGTTATGCATGGATATGTGTCAGTATATGGATAACCAATAACTTTCCCAGCAGAATATGATAAAGTTGTTCATTTTACTTACCAGTATCTCTTTCACCTCTGTCAGTTACCGTGTGCAGCTTGTACAGAAGCTCAGTACTTGTTTGATGTTTATCGGTGCTCAGCTGCCGCTAAGTACTGAAGGCAGTTAAGATTTAGGGCCCTATTTTAACGATGTGAGCGCACGGCGTGAAGTGCGTGGCGCAGGTGCTTTTGGGGCGTGTCTAGCTCCAATTTTGTTAGTTTAACGGAGGAAAAAACGGTTAGTGCGCCAGGCGCACGGTTCAAAAGGGTTGTACTTAGTCTGTGAATTAGTCATGGGTGTGTTTTGGGCGTAGCATTCAATACACCATCTCCCATTCTCTTTAAAAGCCAGATGGCTTGTACCTTGGGGCATCGCTATTATAATGACGCATTGTTAAAACCATAATTGCAGACTCACAGCAGAGAGGATATGGACAGAGGTGTGGACGTGATATAAAAAGTGTCTCTGATCATGAAGCCTAATGTTCAACTTCACTGCAGACTGGGGTCTGTTAACAGAGAGACAGACAGACGCTGTGTCCTCTATGAAACGTCTGGATCCCCACTGTGCTGCGTTATTATATGATGAACCGGTCGTGGGTCACATCTCTCACCTACACTGGCTTCTTTATTTTGTGTTTTATTGATGTATGAGTGTTTTCCTGAACGATTTACTTTCATGATTAGAATCTGCTGTCAGTCATTTAAAACGCTTCCATGTGCGCAATAAAGTCACAACAAATAAAAAACTGTAGTTATAAACGTGACAGATTAAACTCTCCAGAAGAAAAATAATTCAACTTTTAACATCTGAAATAATTTAGACGCTCTGATGGAGCTCAGGATTGATCAGGAGGAGGGCTGCTTCACTCCAAACACTTTCACCTTATGAACCTTGACTGTGTGTGAGACCTTTACCATGTGTAGAAGAACACAGAACATGAATAGACTTTAGATCCTGGCCGATCCTGTCTGCGTGTCGGGAGATTTTAATAATCAATGAAGTTACGCTGCTGTGCCTCGTGCGTAAATGCGCAAAGCGCCTCTCTTAGCGGAATAATGCGTCTCCAAAATAACTAAAAACAGTTCAATACTGCGCCATTGACTTTAGACCTGTTTTTTGGTCAATGGCTTTCTGCTGCCTCAAGATAGAAATGCGCCAACAATTTGGCTGACCGTGCCTCATTTTAACACCAGCACTCCCATGGGCGCACAGATGAGAACGAGTGCATTTGCTATTTAAACAAGGTGGGCACCTGGCGTGAAAATGACAACTGCGTCGGTTGAAAACTAGCAATCACAATTTTCACCGGGTGCAGGATAGGCGCTTTGGTGAAGAAAAACAGGCTCTTGTGTGACAAAAACAACCTTGCTGTCAGGAAGTAAAAGATAAACTTTTCATCACATTTTCATTTGAAATGCACTGATGGACAGCTATGCAGATCTGATTAATCCCGATCCGTGTGCGTCAATATTCCCTTGTCTCACGCTACATAGCCCAGAGCAGTTTCTTTTGTCATTTCCAGTGTTTTAATACAATATTTATTACTGTTAAACATTTCAAAAAGGCACATAATTGAATGACAAACAACATATTTATTACTTTCCCAATAATTAGTAATAGTTATATTTAATTAATAAGTGAATGTTCTTCCCAGAAACTGGGTGTTAAACCAGAGACTGTTTTCTTGGATGGGAACTTAGTAAGTGTGGGCCTTGATCCTCCCCCAGAAGATTTTGAGGATTAAAGACTTAATTTCCTGCATTCTGAAAAGTGCTGCTCCAATTAATAGTGTCATTTTTTATTTTTATAAATGGAAACACACAATTCAGGTGGCAGGTGACATTTCAAAATATAAAGATATAATATAATATTAGCAGTAAGGCTCTCAGGCATTCTTAATTGCTTTTAAATAGGCTGTTCCTCCTGTAGATCAACTTGTTTAATCTCATCCATGCTGATTCAACACACATAATTTAGTCTTTCTTCCACTTTTGTGTCTTCTGTTAACCTCTTAAATGTGCATATTGCGCCTTTTCACCTCAGTAATATATTAATTCATTTTAATTCAGTTACTGACTGGACTTTAATAGCTTTTCAGTTTTAGCAGGTTTTCTGCTCCTATTCAAACCTTTCTGCACATTCAGAATCTCTCGGTCTTTGATCTGTGTTCTCTAGAAAGTCATAGCCTAATATTACGAGACTAACGTCACCATTTAATGAGAATTCATAATATTTTGTGCATCTTATATCTTGGAAATATGTAACCAATGCCATAAAAAGGCATTCATGGAGTATTGCTCAGAGAAACAAGTATCTGACAGAAACAGAGAAGAAGAGTTATGACACACACCATCTTGTCCAGCCACAGTGAAGTAAACTGGCAGGTTTTAATGTTGCAGACCACAGGGTTTTTTGCAAATAGTTAAAAGTTTAAACTTGTATTGTTGTTAATCTTTGGCGTAAACTCGCCTTAAAACTTTGACCTCAACAAACACGCCCCAAGAGCACCTCAGCGCCCCCATTTACAAAAAATGGCTTCTAGCGCCTCCCGTCCTCCTCCGAACACAAAAACACTGCTTTAGATGAAATAAAATGATACCAAAATCATTCCTGCTGAACATACTTTTGTCAGAAAGCTTTAGACTGTATGGAGTAATGATTAAATCTTTTATCATCATTATTTTGTTATCAGAGAGTGTGTGTTCAGAGGAAGATTTCCCACATTCTGTATGCCATAAGATTTCACCTGCCACTCCCTCACAGTTATGTCGTCCTGGGAGTAGAGCCAAATAAATGTCCTCATGAGACCTTTTGATGTGTCAAACTGTACATACTTATCATTATTATGCTTTTTAAGGCTTGGACGGTACCTGTTTTTTCATACCTTCATACCTTCCTGACATTTCACTTAACCTCTAATTGCTCCAGAGGTGTGCAACCTCTGACAGTGCTTTGTTCAGAGGACGATAGTCCACATACTGTATGCCATAAGATTTCACCTGCCACTCCCTCACAGTTATGTTGTCCTGGGAGTAGGGCCAAATAAATGTCCTCATAAGACCTTTTGATGTGTCAAACTGTACACACTTATCATTATTATGCTTTTTTATGATGATATTTGTGTAAAAAACAACAAAAACACAAAAGCAGAGCTGCAGGTGATAAAGTCACTGTTGCATGGATGACATTGTCCAGCCTGTTGTGTCTAATATGCTATTAGCCTACTTAGTGCTGTATTAAGCTTCTACTGAGATTTTTGAATGAAGCTTTGAATGTCTGTTGTCATATTTTATGATGATTTTATGATCATAAAAATTCCTTGAACAAAATCCTCAATTTCAATAAAGTAATTCATCATAGTAAATGAGTTTGGGTGTTTTTATTAAATCAACTTTCTTTAATCGCCCCATTACAGTTTTTCTGAATGCTTAAGCGCAAATCGTGATTCTTGTAGCACAATTTCTAAAACTATTAATACGTATAGCAAAACCACTCACTGAGTTTGCAAAACTAAAAGCACAAACACTGCTTTGCACTCAGTTTGCAATTTTGTAACACACACTTTGCAAAACTGTAGGCACAATTCACTGCACAACACTCTTTTTGCAGAACTTTAAACACAACTCACTGCTTACACTCAATTACCAAATTTCCAACACACTCCTAGCAAAATTATACACATGTATGGCTATCATTAACACTATTTTGCCAACTGTCTGGCACACTTTCACATGTGAAAACTGTTTTAGATAAGTAGTTCACTTTGCAATCAGCCTAAGCACTATAAATAAGCCACAGGTAAGCTGTCTGTGTGGAGTACAATGGAACGAGCAGTAAGAGCGAGAAGAGTGAGAATCAGAGGACGTGGAGGTGAAGAAGCGAGAGGGTTAGAGGAAGTTAGAGGAAGAGGACAAGGAGGAGCAAGAAGAGGACGAGGAGGGGAAAGAGGAAGGGTAAGAAGAGTAAGAAATAGAATAACTGATGACATCAGAGCTACAATAGTGGACCATGTCATCAACCATGGGATGACCCTGAGGGAAGCTGGCCAACGGGTTCAGCCTAATTTGAGCCGCTACACTGTGGCAAGCATCATTAGGACATTTCGAAATGAGAATCGGTAAGTACTTTGTAGCACTGCCATACTCTAATGAGAAACACAACAGTACCATACATGCAAAAATACTGAAATTGTTACTTTACAGAATTGCTAGACGTCCACATGTTGGGGGCAGAGGAAGAATGTTCACTCCAGAGCAAGAGACCCATATAGTGAACATGGTGATTGCCAATAATGCAATAAGACTGCACGAAATAGAGCAGCGCATGATTGATAATGACACCATCTTTCAAAATATACACAGTGTAAGCATTTCTGCACTAAGTCGTGTACTTGCGTGCCACAGAATAAGAATGAAGCAAATTTACAGAGTTCCTTTCGAGAGAAACACAGAACGTGTAAAGCAACTGCGATATGACTATGTGCAGGTAAGCTATAGTGTCATTGGTTCTGAATTTGGAAGTGCATACTGTAGTGCTGTGCATGGGCCTGATGTGTTGCATTTGTTTTGTCTTGTCCAGAGAGTGATGGAACTAGAAGCAGATGCCATGGGACATGAGCTACTTTTTGTAGATGAGGCCGGTTTTAACCTCAGTAAAACCAGGAGACGTGGCAGGAACATTATTGGACACCGTGCCATCATCAATGTCCCAGGACAACGTGGTGGTAACATAACCATGTGTGCAGCTATAAGCCAAAATGGTGTTGTTCACCATCATGCAACCATAGGCCCAT